TGTACTAAGATAATTTCAGAGTTTCAGCATGCATTACTCACTAGTGCTTTTTGTCTTCATTTAGTTGCCTTAATAGAAGGAGTAGAAAATTCACAGAATTAACCTCATATGAACTGTACTTTTTTAGTGTAGCAATGGGGCTTTCTGGCACGGACTCCATGCTGCTTAGGAGGCAGCCTTGTAGTGAGCCATCCCTGTGTACAGAGCTCTCAGGTTAGTTTGGGCTTTGTAATTTTATTTACACAAATATTTTTTACTAAAAGATACATTATGTTTTAATGGAAGTTAAGGGATGGTGACTTCCATTGGGAAATTATGTTTTATCTTAAATGCTTTGTATCAGTGGATCAATTATCAGATTTTTAAACTGAATTATTTATTTAAATGTGATTAGTTCCTCCTTATGATTTTTATGTTTTTCTTTGTGGGTAAAAAGAAATGTTAATAATGTTTTAATAGAGAACATGTGCAATAAAAAGCCCACTTTTATGTCACTACTTTTCTAAACTTACTTTCAGTCATTATTCATAGGAAATTATGTGAAATAGTTAAAAAGTTAGAATTGTTGACTCTGCTATCAGTTCTAAAATTTTAGAACTTCAGAGAACAGAAGTCTCTCTAAATCCTGCTTTATGACCCACTTTAATCATAGGAACCCACTCTACCTGAGTGTCACTTACTGCTCAGAGTTGAAACAGCAGCTCAGGTAATAAGCAGAGCAGAAAGAACATACAGAAATTACTTTGGGAGAATATATCTTACAAATCTCTGGGCAGTTGATAAGATGTGCTCATGGCTTAAAGATGATTAATTCATGAGTCAAATGTTTTAGTCTTTCATCCTTAGCATTAAAATGCTAAGGATTAAAGTTTTAGAGTGCTTTGAGTTAAATTTAAAAGCCAAATTATTACTATTGAAACAATTGATCATCAGAAGCTCAATATAATGTATTTGAATATAGTCTGGAACCACCTGTTCCAGCTTATCAAAACTAAGTTTTTCAGCCATAAAACCATGGGTCCACATTGGAAATATTAATTGTCATAATAATTGCAGATATCTCTGTATAAAGGCTGGTCTGCATCAAATTCCCAGAAATGACTTTCTAGAGAAACCTAATGTTACCAGAAGTTCGACACTTGTCCTCGAGGGCACATCAGAAGAATAAGGACAAGTGGTTTTTGGAGAAAGAAAGAGAAGTTTATTAATTTGCTGGCAAGTGAGAAGAATGGCATACTCCTGTCTTAAAGTACCATTGTCCTAACTATAAGCGGAAACACAGAGTTTTTAAAGGGGGGAAGGAGATTTCAGCTTCAGGGCATTGCTGTTTAACTATAGTTAATGGTTCTGGTTGACCCCATCTCTGACGAAGACAATCTCATGACCTCTGCCCAGACAGTTCCGTTGAGCC